CGGGTGAGCTGAAAGAACGCACCCAATGGAGTCTTTCGGGGGAAAGAAGGCGCTGTTACGTGTTACATCATGTTCTAAAACAATACACTTGTAAGTGAACAATCTCAGTTAGCCATCTTGATGACAGATATATGATAGAGAACAGATGTCGTGCACAGGGCGACCTCACTGAGGACAGATTTGTTTTTGACATAAGTACACAATGTCTACTCATGCGTATCAGAGGAAGGCAGACCTGCCATCTGTGGGGCGCTCTATGCAAGGGGTTTGTTTTATGCACCAGGAATGCAAATGCTAGGGTGGGATGGCGAGAACATTAGCCGGGATATGGGCCGTATGATCATTCCCACACATGGGGGAACTCCAAAAATATTGACGTTGACTTCTTGTAGTGAGGATAACTATGCAAATACGTGATATAGAAGCCGGCATATGAATAAGTCTGTGTACTGATGACGGCACACTCTGTTTACATGTGCACTTGCTTATGGAGCCAGTGGAGCCCATGGTCAAATGAGCACCATAGGTAAGCACACACGTAAACAAAATGTGACGTCATCAGTACAGAGGCTTATTAATATGTTGGTATATGCCTGCTTCTATACGTGCGCATGAGGGCGCTGTGCAATGAAATGGCTTAAGAACGACTAGGTGCGTTAAAAAAAACACGACATGGTTCATAAAAGCCCTTAAAGTAATAAAATGTTATACAAGTGACATGATTGATACACTGATTCTCCAAGGCCACATGAATCAGTTTGCCTTCTTTCACTAGACAGAATGCAAATGTTTGCCACCTGTTTAATTTGGAAGGCGACAGCCCGTGTAAACTTACCGCTTGTGACAAAAGGGGTGTCGGGCCATCGCGTCAAAAAGCCCGGCTTGCAGCACTGTCACGCTTGCTTGTGCGTGGCATAGTTCCTGCTCACGAGTACAAGTTTTCTCAATTCTCTCTGTTCTGGATGTAATCCACATTTTGTACTCAGTCACCTATTTCTGGGGTGCATTTCTTACTGGTAAAAAAAGCTGCATGCCTTTTTAATTTGCGCTTCTAAATACATAATTACATACACATGGCTGCACTTTCCATGCGTATGTATTTATGATGAAGATCGCCGCTAGCGTGCTATAAATGTGCATTTCCACACACGCATAGAGCATTAATGCACTGTTGATACATTCATGGTGACGTCACACACACACACTTCTAAAAATTTTGTGCATATATCTATGACCTCCCAAACTGCTCACAAAATAATTTGAATGAAGCGTTCTTTTTGTTGGAGTCAAAAATGCGTGTAAGTGGGAAGGTGGGAAGGTTTTGTTAGCGCGTTTAGTCGACGTTAATCTACGGACATGAGTAAGAAGCTGTCTTTCTTCCTGGCCAAGACTACTAGGGAAGCATACGGACTGCAGCTCTCTCCAATTATGTCAGATTGAAGAATTGGTTTGGTGGTATTTGGTGGAAAGGTTGTGTAATCGTCTCATCCGTTTTCGATGATTCGGTGAGTTACTGCTGATGTAACTTTTCCAGTTTATGGAATTCTTAACACCAAAAAATCGGTGTTTTTCATTGTCCATGGATCAAATTTAAGTTACGTGATATTTCAGTAACAACTTTTAAAGGGCCGGGTCGAAATCCGCTCCCCCCCCCTCAATTTTTCCCGCGATAGCCTTGATTTTTTTTTTCGCGACCCGAGCTGTTCTGACTTTTTAGCCTCGAGCCTTGCGCATCTTTTGAGACCCCTTGAAAACTGAATTTGCCCATATACGTCGTGTACACAGAGAACAATTAACATTCCTACATATGAAGAATTACTTAGCCATAATTCCCAAACCCTTTGACCTTTAGTCATGAAATTTCTTGGGTATGTGTATGATGAGTTGCTCTATGCATTTAACGAATTTTCAAAAATTTTCGTCACTCGATGGCCGAGATCTTAGCCCCCCCCCCTCCCCGGCTGAGAGATGGTCAAAATAGCCCGGCTCTTTTAGGGTTTAACCAGTCGTATCATAAAAACAATATCAGAAAAATCCCATAAGTCTCCGGGGCAGCCAAGTAGAAGGCAGGGGGGGGGACTATAAATCTTGACATTATAACGCATGTTATTTTAACATTGGAAGCAGCAGGTTTTTAAATAAATGTTATGGTAAGTGCCAGTTATCATGGTTATGAGCGCGTTCTGATTTTTCTTTTGATAGGAGAATAGTTTTTGATTTGCTATAATATCACCTAACTTTCTTGTGATCTGTGGACAAGGTTTAAAAAAACAAACAGTGTTTGTGTTCAAAATTACATAACTGCAAAAGCATATTAGCGATTTGAATCATTCTTTCACTAAAATAAAGTTTATTAATATCTTTTATATCCTAGATCCAGAAAGCGCTACATGCAGAACCATATGGGTTTACTATTGTTTTACTTATCCTGTATAATAGCGGTAATAATGTTCGCATTGGCAATGTACAAGCAAGTCAACAAATTACACTAGCTCACAACTAGTTCGAATACACAGCCGTTACATTATGTTGGCTTTTGACTAATAATTCGAGAAAAAAAAGGTGAATCATATGCATTCCTACCACGGAAAACAGATACATTGTTGGAACAAAGTTAATTTCCGCTGATTGTAAAGGTTTGGTCGGCCACATTTTTTGAAAAACAAGACGTGAAAGGCAGTGATGGTCGATACTTCCAGTTACTACTCATTGCTGTAATCGTACTTTAGTGTTTTGTTACTTCTAACATAACAACTGATGAAGTCAAATAACCTATGATCCAATGCCCCCAAGACTAATTAAACCGAGTAAGGTAGTATAGAAAGCAAATATATGTTGTATATGCACTCAAAAGCTACATCTGAATCTACATCTGATTCCACGTTGTGTACAAACATTCAAGTTGAGATAAATATTACAGCCACTGATTTAAAGTTGCACTCTTTGTGCTCTCACCTCGTGCTCTCAAATGTTATATTCAATTCTAACCCCAAAGCTCCCCCTCCTTTCTTTTGTGAGTAGAAGGAATCAATATTTCGAGATGGCCCCTGAAAGTTACATATGTTGTTATTTCGTTTTAAGAGTTTAATGCTAACTTCACGGTGCGTACATAATACTATGAAATCACGATTACCTCCCAAATACCATTAATCAATTACAGAACCGGAGGTCAAAGAAGACAAGGAAACAAACAATGAAAAATGGCGCCCAAGCCAACAATTATTACAATTTGAGGCGCACAATAAAAACTACCATTACATATGCAGGATGTCACCCCATAAATGTCCCTCTAGAGGGTGTACAGATTTTTTTTTTTGGGGGGGGGATCAAATTCAATAAAATTGATAAGCCCAAACATTTTGTTCTTTCTTGTGTAAAGCGTTTTTTTTTGGATTCGGTTCAGTGGTTTGAAACAAAGGCCATTATGTAACAAAAGTACATTTTGCTCCAGTCCAAGTTTGACAACACATACAGTTAGAGCGTGCACAGTGTGTTTCTGTTTTCTCAGGCCAGCCCCTGCCTTAATGTCCTTAATCATTTTGAACTGTTATAACAGGTGTTTCAGACACTCCCTTGTTTATGTTTTTTGCGTGGGGGGGGGGTCAAATTCTGCTTGGAGTGACATTTATTTGTGGGAAAACCTGTATTGTAAAACTTGGAAAGGAGCAGATGAAAATTGACTAGGGTTACATTAATAAGATATTCATTTACACCCTCCAGAGGGACAATTATTGGGACACCCTGTACAGTGCATGTTATCATGAACAGCTCTCTTAAAGTCAATTAGGGACAAATTATTTTTCTCCGAAATTGCCACGTGTATTGTCCCCCCCCCCAACATACACACACCCACACCCGTTTGTTAATGGTGTAAATGGAGGGTTTGTGTTTGCCTCTTCCCTTATTGTACTCTTTTTTGCAACAGCTCTCATTGGTTTTGCACACGTTTTCCAATCGAGATCGTCATCGATTTGGTTTATGTCCTCGGTTCACGGATGATGTTGCATGTGTGTTCTCCATTTACACTATAAACAAACGCACACAAATCCGGGGTGCGCTATTTCCTTCCATTTCATAAATGTAAGAAAAGATGGAAATTAAGCTTTAATTAATCGGAAGTTGATGAATAGTACAGGGGTTTGGGGGGATAATGTGCTTTGCCCCCCTCTGGAAAAAAAAAAAAACATGACGACGCCCATGATGGTAATTATAGGCTGATTCTTAGTGGCGTATCCTGCACTAGGTCGACTTTTTATATTAAGAATCAGAAGATTTTTGGCGGTTGATTAAAAACTTAAAAAAAACAGGAGGAGATCAGTGTGGAATATAATGCAATAAATGTGCATTTCAGGCTATCACTTGCGATACAGTCTTTGTTGATAAATGGAGTAAAGACAAATGTGTCCCCTTGATCACCTTACAGTATTTATTTTTCCACCGTTAAGCACGTCAGTTGTTACTGAATGAAAGCAGATTGTTTCTCTGCACCAACTTTGCGAGTTAACGCTATAGTACTGCTTGTCCCAGGAAAACTTCTCGCCATAACAATGCAATCGAGGAGGTGTACAATGACATTTGGGGTGCTCCTGCACTCCTTCATAAGTTTTCGGGTCCAGCATGTCTTCCACAACCGTCTCGAACGCTTTATCGACATTGTGATTCTGAAAGTGAGTATTTTTTAAATGAAACTAGCTCCAAAATATGTTTCATCCTTGTTAACATGATCAGAAATTTTGGTTCAATCTCATCGGTAAACGACAGGTTTATTTGGGATCAAATGTATGACTTTTTTTGCACGTATAGTACGTACAGTCCATGCGGACAATTCCTCCTCAATCTATGGTTAACACGCTTTTTGCTTAGTTCACTGCTGAATCTCTCCGTGAAATGGACGAAGGTTCGATATTGAAGGAATCGTTTGCCTAGAAGCACCATAATATGACACCTGTTAAATAGTCTCCCTACACTGCCACATAGCAAGATAAACCATTCATTAAAAGTCATAATGGTGCCATCTCAACGCCAACTCTGTTACCACCATGCCTTTTGGAGCAGCAGCAGAAAGCTACCTTAAGACCTTGCCTGAATTTCTTGTATTTAAACTCATAGATGATTGGATTGATGACTGAATTGAAATTAAACAGTAAATTAGAAAACACTCTGGTATAATAAAAGACCTTCGATCCACAGAACAAGAACTGAGCCTCGTCAGTTGGTTGCAAGCAGAAAAGAACAGCTAAATTATCCATTGTCCATAAGACAATGAGAGCTCCCAAGACAGTTTTAAGCATGCTGACCAGGTTCTGTCTAGCAATCACAAGATCATAGGCTGCTGCCCTTGCATATTGCAGGTTCAGGGCTTTGGCTTGTCGTTTGAGAGTGACCTGCATCTTATAATAGGCCAAACTCATCAATGTTAGGGGTAGCAAATATGAGAAGAGAAATGTAAATATGCTGATTAGAATTACGAATACGCGGTGAGGATATTTGATTGAGCAAATCTGATTTGGGTCATTGCTTGGCTCTATTGTGAATAGAAGAGGCACAGATAACAAAAATGATATCACCCACGTCACAGCGATCAAAGTAACCATCCGTGCTGTTGTGAGTTTCCTCGCGTAGTGTAGAGGGTGTACTATGGCAATGTACCTCTCCAATGTAACTACACAGAGATTGTAGGCAGAGGCATTGGTCAATGCAAAGGCTAAATACTTTGATTCTAGAAGTCGACAGAACAAGTCTCTCACGCCGTTGTTTACTGGAGCAAAAGCAATAAGCTTACAGTCTGATGTTAGATAATACAGGAATACTTGAACACACAGCAACATATCAGCAACAGCCAAATTCACCAGCAGGTAGTTTGTCATGTTGTGTAAGAATTTGACACGTAGGATGACGTAGCACACTAAAAGGTTTCCTAGGACGCCAATAACTCCTTCGGCTGCCATGATCTGACAGACCCAGTTCCCTCCAGATGGTTCCTCATTGTGTTCATCGGATGCATTCATGGTTAACATTAAATTGTGATTCTGATTCTGGTTGGACAGTCTTGTGGGAAGCAGTTTTTTGTAGGCTTATAGCAGAGAGGTACTGGAGAGAGGTACTGTTGCTCATTAGAGAGGGTAACACAAATCAGTGAGTCGTATCACAACGAGGGCAAATCGGGATCAGTCTATATACATGTATTAGTTTCTACAAAAGCCACAGTTCTGGATACACTGATGACGACTTACACGTGTACTTAACATGTACAGTTTGAGTTTACTGAAAACAATTCTGAGAATCTGAAACAGTGGCCATGATCGCATTAAAGTTTATAGGATCAGTTAACCATCACAGCGTTTCTGAGCTGATAGTATGTCAAATGCACTCATGCTTCGCTATAATGCAACAACTCCAAGGTGTTCCTGTTAGCACACTGATCTTTCGTGTGGCATCCTACCCGCTATCAGCCTCTTTTATTCGATGTGGAAAGTTTCAGTTTGTTGCTGATTGAACGTTTTTTAATTAAATATGTCAGGAGACGATTAATGGGTTGTGGCTTATTATCTGCATCTCCGATTGCCAATGATTGAGCCACAATGGACAATCTTTTTTTTTATACATTCAGTATACTTAACCTTTTAATCATTAACCTTGTAACCAATGGTCAGGTTTTCTAACGCATCATAAACCAATCGTTTTAATTACTTTTAAATGAAACTTTAGTGACTTATTGTGTAAATTATGTTGATGTAGGCTTATGTCTGTCTTTTTTGAGTATGTGGATTCATTTATCAAGCAGTCTTTCAAATCTGAGTTTCGATAGGCATTACACTCAGTGGGCCTCAATATATGCGGATTGGTTGTCTTAACAAATGTATCAATACTTGGCCTGATGATGTTGTTCACTTGTATACCACTACCATGCACACGAGCTGTTGCCACTGCCTTCCACTTTCATTCATTACTTGTAGGAAGGATTCAGGAAAAGAGACCAATCTCTAGTTGATGAGGGAGTGGGGCTCTTCCTTTATTATCACTTTCATTCATAGCTGAGTTGTTTTCCTTATTGTGGACCAGCCAAAATGGAATATTACACTTTAAACTTAACACAATGGTTGTTAATAGCAGGCAACTATGCCAGATCAGTAAGTCAAAGGATAGAGAACAGATGTAGGTAAGTGCCGCCATTAATGTTGACCCAAATATACCTAATGGAAACGTGTGGTCTAACGGTGGAGCACATGATTCATGATCGTGAGGTTGTGGGTTCGAGCCCTGATGTGGCCATGCGTGTTGTGCCCTTGAGTAAGGCGCTCTACACCAATAACTCCTCTCAACCCAGGTGTTAATTGGGTACCGGCATTATTCAATGCTGGGAAGGTAACAGACTCGCCGTGGAGGAGGTGTGGCGATCCCCCACAACAGCATTTCATGGACTCGAGTCTGGCCAAATCGCTAACAAAAGAGAGATGGGCACTCCGTTCCTGTTAACACACACTCTCAGAAAAAAAAACTACACAAGTGGTGTACAATTTAACCATGTTTCGTATGTAATATACGAACTCGCTTGCAATTGTGTAAAAAGTTACATAATGCGTGTTGGGTAAAAGACTGACTTGACAGTTGTGTAAAAGTTTACTTGATGTATGTGTAAATATGTGTACACATTTATTTGGTAAAAGACAATTAAGTAAACTTTACATAACTTTCAGGTGAAACAATACTATATTATAATGTAAAATTATAATAAAAGACGATCTGTTTCATTTTAATTTTATATATTCCCTTCCCGAACTGTGTACATATGCCGAATACAGGTCAACTCGTACGCAAACCAACTCGTACGCGACCAACTCGTACACAGGACAACTCGGGAAAGAATGTTGCAACCTGACGCTACTTCAGTGGTTGTATACAAAGTCTATGGAGAGTCTAGAAAACAAAATTGGTAATGTTTATCAGTCCCAGATTAATATGTCTTATCATCATTTTTGCAATGACTGACCTTCATTGAGGTGATATATGAAGGAAAAAACAGCGTCAGGTTGCAACATTCTTTGCACAACGGGTACGTGGACAAATTCGTACGCGGTCCAACTCGTACACTGACTTAAACTCGTACACCAAATTATATGTGGTCGACGATTCTTAACTATGTACTGGGAACTGTGTATCGTTCAATTTCTTTAAATTGGCTAACTTTGACCGGCATACGAGTTGGCTGGCGTACGAGTTGGCCCGCGTACGACATGTCTCGCTACAAGTTGGTTCACATACGAGTTGTATAATACGCGCAGTGGCCGAATTAAACACTACTAATATTAAGAATATCCTGGGTTTTTTTAACGTACAAAGTGTCCAGGCATTTCTGGGGCTTGGGGACGGTATAACAATCACAAGAGCTTTAGAAAATGTTACTTTCAAAAACCGAAATTAGCTGTGGCACATCCCCTCGTTGTTACAGACGTCACGGTGTACTGCATTTTCACTTATGTAGTCTAGGGACTAGACGTTGTTATGGTTTGATAGGCGAAAACCCGCCGCCGCGATAACCCGCCGCTGCAAGAGGGCGCTATCGCGACCGCCCAAAATCGCCCACGGACTTGTCAGAACAACGTCTGAGGAATCTGGTCTTGGAGGTGTAATGCACGCCCACATGTTTGGCCTAATATATGCAGCGCGCAAAAAAAAAATATTATAGTAGTTCCGAAGCAAACTCAAATATTTCCAGTGCAGAAAAAAAGTTGCAGCAAGGCCTTGTGCAACTTCACTGGTCAGCTCTTGTATTATGTGTTGTATGTGTAGGACCGAAAATGGACCGTAGTTGCCTGCAGAAGTCGCGCATGCGCACCAGTTTCCCCCATTTAAGGGGGAGCTTTCAGCAAATTCCGTAGACGTTATTCTGACAAGTCCGTGGGCGATATTGGTTGGTCGTGATAGCGCCCTCTCGCGGCGGCGGGTTATCGCGTATCAAACCATAACAACGTCTAGCCCCTAGACTATCACTTATGCTGTGCTGTGCTAGCTGCATCGCGTCACCGCGTGTACATTTTTACCTTGTCTTTAGTACGTTTAACCTAGTTGCAGTACGTTTTTACACAATTCAGGTAAACTGACTGCTTTACTTATTCAATATGTATTTTTCAATTTACATGTTTTCGGGGTACTTTATTTCCGGCAAATTTTACCAAAATTGTGTATTATTTTACATAACAATTTTAACTTAATCATGTTTTACATATCTTTTTGAGAGTGCAGCTTCGTCCTCTTTACTTTACTTTACTTTACTTTTGTATACCTAATTTGCATAAATTGTTAATCCCTGCCGTGTTATATATTTATTTCCATATTTGGGTCCATTCTTTATTTATTTTTTTGAAAGTTTATTGTGGTGACTGTACTTGCACACCCTTACTTAAATAACATTTATGAAGCATATAAGTGACTGAATCATTATGAGGACATAGTGGCGATCAAATAAAATGGCTACTATTATACCCAAAAGTGCTCGCATTTATCTTGTCTCGACATATCCTAAAGTGGTCTTGCCAAAACTGAAGACTCAGTACTGATGAGCTTCAAATTCACCAAGCTGCTTACTGGCGCAATTACTATATTAAAACCTAATGGAAAACCATGTAAGCAATGATAACATTGTGATATTTAGCTCAGCAAAAAAACAACGGGGAAAAACGAGCTGGCTGTCCGTAAACTGGGCATAAATTAGGCGAAGGATCACTTAACGTGGGAGACTTGAAAAAGTCCAAGGACCCCCCCCCCAAAAAAAAAAATGAAGGAAATAAAATAAAAATGATATAGTTACTAATAATTTTGGAAATTTCCTAAAAGTTTTAAAGTTTCCCACGTTAGGCAACTCTTCACTATTTATAAGATCAAATAACAGACACCTCGTGTCTCCCCCCCCCCCCAGTTTTTGTTTTGCTGGTCTAAATATCATAACGTTATCATTGTTCAAAGGTTTTAATAGGGTAACTGTGCCATTAATCAACTTGTTTAACTTGAAGCTCATCAATTCTGAGGTTTGGCAAGGCTTCTTAAAGATATCTGGAGACAAGGTAAACGAGCGCAAAGTTTGTGTATATTAGTAGCCATTTTCATGGGCGTCGCTGGGGGGGGGGCGTCACCCCAGCCCAGCCCCCCCCCCCTCCCTCCATTAGTCAGTTTTGTCGGCAAAATCATGGTGCTTTCGGCAAAATAGAAAATGAAGAATGGAGAAGGAAGGGGAAAGGAAGAGGAAAGAAGAAAATGGAGAAAATGAATAATAAACCGTGCTGCTCAAAACCCAGCGCAGCTAAAATTCCGGTTCTGCAACCCATGGCAATAGATTGTCGTTCTGTCATTAGATTGTTTCCCGGCCCATTTTGTAAGACTGATTATGTCATGTCGGCACGAGCTGCCGCGCGAGGTTGCCTCACATACAGTGGTTGACAGCTACTGCTTTGCAAAACACAAGCACGAGCTCGCTCGTAGGCAATACGAATTGATCTGAATTTTACTTTTTTGACGACACCAAATCATGGATCAAGCTGAAGAGGGAAAATCTGGAAAGAGAGTCAAGCTACAGTTTTGATGTGATGTTTGAGATGTAATATATCAACTTTGACGGCCCACCCCTATCTCCCTAACACGAACACATTTCATTCAAAAAGTCCGGGGAAAGTGGCCAGGAAATGGCTCCGATTGCAACAAAGAGCATCTAAAATCCAAAAAGTTCCCCGGGGCCCTGGGCCTTACACCTCCAGGGCTTCGAGCTCCGCGCTCGCATATAAAAAGGTCCTCCTAAGGATTTAAAGACCCCCCCCCCCGACAAGTCTGGGATCAGGAAACGGGCCAGAACAAGGTGTGCGCACACGTACCCTTTGCGAAGTTTCGCGACGAGCAAATGTCAAAATCTGTTCCGTATGATAGTGCCAAATTTTTAAGATTCACCTTTGAAGTTGAACTTAAATGAAATCCATTCAAAGTAATCAACATTATTAACCATTCATATATTTGTGGAGAA